TGCAGGTAGAAAGTTTTAGGTACCCCACTTCAATCGCTCTCTTATTAACTTTCTTTATTGAGAAATCCATCAATGATAATCAAATATAAAGTACCAACTCAGTCTCTGCCTCACTCATTATTGTATTAGCGCTCTCATCAGACTGTTTAATGAAGGGTATTAACAATGTTCGTCAGTGCTGCATTAGAGGAGGCTTGCAGTGAGAGCCAGGACTGCTTTTCTTCTGTCTGGGTTTTGGTTCTTGTCCCAGACCTCTTCATCACAAACTGAAGAATCATTTGTCACGTCCATTGTACTTGTCCACGCTTGATAGTGCTGCTGGAAACACTTTATCAGATTAGACCAACAGGAGTTTATGCCAAGTTTGTACAGTGCACGTTTTACATTTTTAACAGCTACATTTAATCAGATTTTTATTCTGTCATTAGTCTATTTGAACAAAACAGCTCTACTACAATGTTCATATACATTTTTTTTTTAGTTTACTATATCCATTGTCAGATAGAGACAAATATGCAAACTTCGACCACAAGAGGGCACTAAAGAAACAAAATCAGATATGGTCAGTGTGTTCTACATCTTCATTTGATCCCATGAAGATCCCATAGTTAATACAAATTCAAGTTCAAAATTTATTAGGGATGCAACAATAACCAAAATATCTTGATATCATATCATCAAAAGTTCTCACAATAATATCGTGGACCATCACAATATATCGAATTACAAGTGTCTTTGCTTAAATTCATTGTTTTGGTGCAGCAACAGCTAAAAAAACAGAGGGAACTACATAGACCATGATCCTTTGCAGTTACTGTGCAGACTACATGAAGAAATAACTGTTATTAAGCACTTTTAACGCTTTAATTCTTTATATTATAACAGGGCATTTTAAAAGAAAAAAGTACCACGTTCACAATTTGTTCGCCTCCACAAAATATTGCAATAAATATCGTATTGTGAGTTGCATATCGTGAAAATATCGTACTGTTACATCCCTAAAATCTATTGTAATTTGAGATACTTTTTGTAGATGGACAAACCTTTATTTCTTCGTCGCGTAATGGGACACTACTTCTTGTGTGAAATCCATTTTGAAATATTAAAGTTGCATAGGCTCTTTTCACACTTACGTCACAAACCAGGAGGACGTTTGGAAACACTGAAGTAAATGTGATCAGCTGTAAAATGAAGACTGCATGCGTATGTGCTGTTTGGAATTCTCTTAAATTTGGCCCCTCATCTCTTCTAATCACATGTACCCAGTGTGCTCGGAGTTGTGCGTCAGTGTGGAAATGAAGAAAAATGAGTTATGGTTGTAACTGTTGTTTAATCGAACATAACGCAACGCTACAATGACATGTAGATGAAGAAAACTGGGACATTTTCTAATTTTTCAAAGATTTTGTTAGACTTACTACCACTAACAGAGACCGCTGGAACTTGTCATCTCATGTTTCTAAACGTCTTCTTGGTTTGTGATGTAAGCGTGACCAGAGATTATTCTGTCCCTTTTCTTGTGGGTTTGCCACCTGCTGGTCTCCATGGAGATGATATTGCTTTGCCTGTTATGTTCCACAGTATGGAATTAAACCCATTCATCTTCATGGACATGGGCAGCTGGCGCCACCTAGTGCCTCCACTCAATTTAATTTCTCTCCAGCGACTAGGTCAGGAATCGGAATACACTATATGGTTCGCAAAAATCCTGGAAGTGCGAGTTCAGGCACCAGCCAATCAGCGAAGAGCTATACATTCTGTGTTGGCAACGATTCCCGAGATCGAGGATTTAAAGCCGGAATAAAGAGAATGTTTGGTGAATTTCATCAAGGGGAAAGACATTATTACTCTTCTTCCTACTGGATTTGGGAAAAGCTTAATATACCATTTAGCCCTAGCGGCGCATTACATACGTCATGACCAAATAGCAGTGATTGGTTAAATAAAAAAGTACCCGCCTACTGTTGAACGAACAGATTCTAATGCTGCGAGGTTTCTACGAAGTGAAACCATCTAATGAATCAGGCTACAGTTACAGGTCTGATCTGTGGAAAAGGCGACCTGTAAGAACTGTAAGAATACAGAGATGTGCTTTTGAGCAACACCTGTAACTGAATAAATCCACAAAAAGATGCAGTACATATTCTAGCAAAGCAATAACATCTCCATGGAGACAAGTAGTGGTGCACTCCCTCTCTAGAAAAGTTAATCCGTGCCCATTTAAATAATTACATTTAGCAGTTATTTAAAACATATTTGCAAACCTATTTTATAACCATTGCAAGAACGAAGTCAGAGCTACAACTACACCAACATGACTTTTGGCACAATTTCCCCAAATCTGAAGCAGCTTCCCACTCCTAATCTTCGGCCGGCTCTGTGACCTATCCTCTTAAACGACAATCCCCCGACCGCAGAGCTCCTGAACAGCCAAACTCACCGGGAGAGTGATTTATAGGCAATACCTGTGTAACACCAGCACTGCTACAGCCCCTTTCATTCTCCACTCCAAACACCTCCATTTGTGCTCGAGCAGGCAGAGACAATCAAACTACGCCTGTATTGAACTGTCCGTGCCGTGCTCCCTGTCAAGAAGAAAAGAAAGAAGGGGTGAGGGAGAGTGTTAGGGGAGGTTGCAGCGCTGTTGTATGTGTTTGTAGCCCACGCAGAGACTATTGAGTGACCCCGGGTGGACAGGAGGACAAAGGACGTAGGACACAGGTGGAGGTGGGCGCAGGAGAGGGCCCTGATTGAGGTTTCTTCTCGAAGAGGCAAACCGAGATTGAGAAAACAGCGGGGATGGGGTTGAGAGAGAGGAGGATAATTGGTGGAGGGGGAGAGAAAGATGGAGAAGAACGGGAGGATATATATTTAGAGAGAGACAAAAGAGAAGAGAGAGGAAGGAAGGAAGGAAGGAAGAAGAAAGACATTCCAGAAGTAAACTCAATTTCTCAATCATTTTTCCTACCAACTTTGGGAAAAAACAAGTTTGAAAGCTTGCTCAGGGTTTATCAGCTACGTTCAAATCAGTTTCTGAAACTTTATAAAGCGCCAAGTTAACAAAACATTTCACCTAATCTTGTGTCTTAAATGATTTTTTACGTAAAACAACCGCGTTATGGATATTAGTAAGCACGTAGCTGCTTAGAATCCGCAATGTCCTTAAAAAAATTGGGAATAATGACTGTAAAATGTACTTCCGGAATCAAAGTGGGTGGTCACTGCTGAGCTGAGAGAGGAAGAGGGAGGGAGGGATAAGAGAGAGACTGGATTGGATTGGAAGAAGAGATAGAAATTGTGAAGAAGAGAGAGATAGTAGAAGAAAGACATGTAGAGGAGTGTGAGTAAGAAGAGATATAAAAAGAGGGAGAGGGAGAAAGGGAAAATAAACTAGAAGTTGAAGAAGAAGTCCAAGAGAAAGGGTAAAGAGGAAGGAAGAAGAGCGAGAGAGAGAAAGATTAAAGAGTGAGAGCGTGAGAGGGACTGATAAGAGACAAAGAGCAGAAATAGATCCAGATGTGTGTTCCTCTGATCTCCTTGTCTCCGCTTTTGTTTGAGTGAAAGATGTGATGACTTTACATTGATGATACAATCTAATCGAACATCAGTGACAAATATACTCCAGCAATGAAAACAATATTACAATATGGTGGAAAAGTTCATTTATAGTAACAGTCAGAGAAGGTGAGATTAACTGGTATATTAATTTGTACATTTTGTTGCAGTGGGGGTAATAATCTTTTCACAATTTAACACTTATACTTTCTTTCCTGTAATTCTTATTTTCACTTGCAGTTTTCTAGAGATTCCAGTGAGACTACAGTGGCACTAATATTTCTATTTGAGTCATTTAATCTCATAAAGATTGGGAGTATACACACCGTTCTTACCCATTATAGTTAATTTTATAATGTTTTTGTAAATACAGAGGACAAAAAAGTCAAGGTTATTTATCCATTAATTAACCATTGGATTTATATAGCACATTTCAAGATACTGAAAGCTCTTTACAGGGTATTGGCCCCTTCAACTTAGCCAGACTGGTGCCACCTAGTGTCTCCACGCAATTTCATTTCTCTCATGCAGCTAGGTCACAGATCAGAATACACTAGATGGTGAGTAATAACCCCAGAAGTTGTAGACCGTGCATTGGCCAATCAGCGAAGAGCTGTGAAGCCATGACGTCAAATTCAAGCGCCTGTCTGGGTCCCTTTTGTGGTACAGCACAACAGTAAACAAAGCGGTCGAGATGGATGTAGACGATACGAACTTCAAATTTTTTATTGCACCTTGAATTCGTAAGTTCACCTCATAGAAACGACAATGATTGTTGACAGACATGTTCACTTTTTGCTTTGTTTACTGTTGTGCCGGCAATTATTTGGACACTACTGAGCGTTCCGGGGCATTACATACGTCACGACCAAATAGCAGCAATTGGTTAAATAAAAAAAGTACCCGCCTACTGTTGAGCGAACGAATCCTAATGCTGCGAGGTCAGACGGTTTCCACAAAGTGAAATGAATCAGGCTACCTCCAACCACCAACACTCACGCACACACCACATTCATACTAAGCAATGTGGGTGAAGTGTCTTGCCTAAGGACACAATAACGTTTTGCCACTGTTGCCCCTTTTTGACATCTGGTATTCCCATCGGTCTCCCATCCAAGTACTAACCAGGCCCGGTCCTGCTTAGCTTCTGAGATCTGACAAAATCACTGAATACATTTTTGTTTTACTTTGATAAACATACAAATCTTGAATATGTGTTTATAATCCACCAAGGTTTACCATGAGTTCAACTGAGGAGAAAAAACTACTTATATTGACCGAGAAGTGAGTTTTCTGTATTTATTGCAAAGGACAATCTCAATTCACTGCATTGTTATGACTGTCTCAGGGACATATTCTGAATGCCTATACTTCCTTTGTAGAAACTTGTGCATAGACCCTTGAATTGGTTTTCATTACATTGTTTGTGTCTGTCTCTCCGCCAGGGTACATACCTAGCTACCTCGAGAAGGATGAGCCATGTGTGGTATGTGGGGACAAAGCTACAGGCTATCACTACAGATGCATTACCTGTGAAGGCTGCAAGGTAAGAATACTGCAATATACAAAAGTTTACTGTGTTTGGAAAAATATCTCTTGTATTAGAGTTGTCTAAAGTATCAAATTATATTACCAATTGATACTAAAAATAGTATCGACACTAGATAATCATTTGGGTAAGTATTGATACTACAAAAAGTCACATTTACAAGACAGAAATTAACCTTTTCTGAATGATCTTGAGCTGTATCAGAAAAAATATAAGAGCACATAGACTAATATATGCCCATGGACCACAATGGAACAGACCTGAATGACTGAGGGATTACACAGATATAAGACCACATGGGAATATAAAATAAAGTACTATTATTTAATGCTGAAAATGACATTCTACTGACTAAAGAAAGAGTGTTTTTAAATTATAATTGTGGTGTCAGGATCGGTATTGAGTCTATTCCTTAGTATCAAAATCAAGTTTGAAATGTTATCTTGAAATCGTACCAAATTTTTTATCGATTTATATACAGTGGTTCCTCGTGTATCGCTGGGGTTATGTTCTAAAAATAACCTGCAATAGGAGAAATCTGCGAAGTAGTCAGCTTTATTATTATATCTGTTTTAAGCCCTCGCCACACTTTATACACTTTTTACAACAGGACAGCTACAACCCTTTTTGCATCCTTCTTAAAACTTATTGCTGCTGTCGTCCTCATGTTCTTTTCCTCCTTCTTTATGTAACGAACCGAAGATTAATTTATTCTGTAATGGCGCCCTACAGCCGCGTAACTTCTGCCTTCCTTCAGCATGTCCAGAAGTCCAGCTTTTTGTGCGATGGTTTGCATCTTCCTCTGCCTTTTGGGTGTGAGCACAGGAGCCTTTGTTGGTGCAGAACATTTCGTCGACGTTGTGGGTTTTACCGGGGAGAAAATTTCAGAATCACACTGCTAGAGATCGAACATTTATGCAAATTTGTCAAGCTGAACGCATTCTCTACTGTACAGGAGGCACGGCACAGAGGAGACTGATTGACAATGGTCTACAGTCCCTCAGCCAATCAGGACGCAGGGGGAGGAACACAATATGTGTTCATACACTGTAAAAAAGGCATGCCAAATTGCACACAAAAAAATCCGCAAAACTGTGAGACTGTGAAAGGTGAACCGCGATACAGTGAGGGACGACTGTCTTTCTATGTATATTACAATTAAGTCTATTTGAGTTTTAATGTTAGGATTATGTTCAAAACTTACATTTTAAACACAACATCCAGGAGCACTGAAATATGAACTGAAATATAAACTATCAACATGTTTGTAGTGGTCTAAACTACAGAAATAACAGATTTTATACTTAATAAAACAAGATACTTTTTGTTTGCAAGCCTCCATTCTAATCACAATATTGCAATTATCTTACAGGCCTCTTTCAAATGCCCAATTAGGGAAGCACAATTGATCATGAAAATCTCATTTAGAATTGGCACAAATATCAAATTGCAAGGATTCCAAGTATTTGTGTAACAGAATGCCCTCCGCAGAAAACCAGCTGTCCTTGTGTGTCCACTGGGCCCTATTATAGAATCTGCTAACCTTGTCATTTTGTGCTGTACAAACTCTGATTTAGCAGGGTATTTTCAATATTTTGCTTTTGCTGTTTAAAAACTGTGCTGTGAAGAGAATTCTGATTGGAAAGAAACTTCAATACAACAAAGCAGAATTCTGCATTTTCTCTAAAATTCGGCCCAGTTTCTCATTGTGCACTGCTGCATTTTGAGCCTTTACCTTATTAATACATTTTAGTTATGTTTAAATTTGTCTGTAAATGAATTCATTACACTTTTGGACCAAGTTGTAGCGTTCTTTAACTGTGTGACAACTAAAAACAGCCCGTTCTCAGACTAGTATTACAGTGCTGGTATTCTATGTTCCAATAACACAGCCTAATCTAATGGGTTATTTAAAGGAAAATCCCTTCACTGTTTACATTTTAGCTACCCAATATAAACTTACGATTTACAATAAAAACATCTACGAACCAAAATAGATGCAATGTTTCTCATACATCTCCTGATAACGTCAAAAACTTCATTCCAACACTCTTATATTTGTGTATTAAAGTGCTTATCTAGTGTCTGTATTTTGCCTTTTCTGTAAATAGGCCAAATGAAATAAGTTTGGTATCTCTTTCATAACACGCTCACTCTGGCTCCCGATTCTAGCAGTTTTTGTTTTTTTTTAATGCAAACTCGATGTAGGCCACACACAAGACGAGACTGTTCTGATGAGTACATTTGTCTGTGCTACCATCTGTTGTAAATATTAGAACATGTTTTAGGAACACTTCTGCAAAGCTCATCGCGAAGACTAGTTCAGTACAAGCTTTTCTTCCGGTCTCCCTCTGTCTCCAAGTCTGGTCATCTTGTCTTTTTTAAGAATTTCAGAATCTGTTCAGTTTAGGGCTGCAAGATTCATCAAAATTTTAATTTGAATGGACGCAATTGGTGTTGTAATCAGTGGCGGAGTTAGAAAATTGGGGACCCTAGGTGAACTTCAATTTGGGGCCCTCACTATAATGCACTGTTTTGTTGGTGGGAGGGAGGGGGGGTTGTATTTTTTAAAATATTTATTGTTTTTTTCCCCATTGCTCTTGAAACACGCACATCTTTATTTGAATTATGGTGGATTGAAATCTTGTCTTATTAGTTAGGTTGCCTACTAGATAAACAGAGCTGAAAGTAGTTTTATTTATTTATTTATTTTTGCTAGTACAATTACATTTTTGTTTATATCCATTACATATGATAATGATTATGCTATGATTATATTCTAATCAGGGTCAAGCTAGTCCATTCTAATGTGCTTTGATAGTTAAAATTAATCTGACAATCAGGTACTATTTTGATGTTTTTTTGTTTAAAACTAAACTACTCTCATTTAATGTCATATTGAGAGAAATTTTAATTGCTCTGTGGCCTTGGTGATCAATGGCACTGATGGCTATTGGTTGGGGGCCCCTCCAGGTTTGGGGGCTTTAGACGGCCGCATACTGTTGCCTAATGGTAGCGCCGCCTCTGGCTGTAATCTTTGAAGTGCCATCATTTCCACCACAAAATTAAATATTCTGTCTTATTCTGGTGGGGAAAAAAACTGGTGACCTTGTTAGGGCTGTAGTTCTTCAGTCAATTAGACTTAGACAAACTTTATTGATTCACAAGGAGAATTATTTGGACACAGTAGCTCACACATCACAATATAATATAATAACAATATAAAAGGCAGTAATACTGTAAATTTAAAATAAGCAGCAAAAATAGCAAGAGACTGGTGTCAAAAAAGGCATAATGAATGTATTAGTCAACCAATATTTTTATTTATATTATAAGGATTCATATGGGACAACCACAGAAAGGAGAGACTAGTAAATAAGTGCTTATGTAAAAAGGCAGTTTAAACTCATGATTCAATCTGTTTTTATATAAATACATTGTTTCCTACTTTTTTCACCATAAATAGCTGGATTTGCATGAACTCTTGTTAAAATATGAACTTTGAATCCTGTTATGTAAAACATATATGTAATCACAGTGCTTGTCAGAAACATCATGATTTGATTTTTTTCTCAAATGGTTCAGCTGTGCTTCCTGTATTTAAATTTAATCTTGTATCCTCTGTGCTTTTGTCTGCCTCAGGGTTTCTTCCGCAGGACTATTCAAAAGAACCTCCACCCCACCTACTCCTGTAAGTACGATGGCTGCTGCATCATCGACAAGATCACACGCAACCAGTGCCAGCTGTGCCGCTTCAAGAAGTGCATCGCGGTGGGCATGGCTATGGACTGTGAGTCATGTCTTTTTATAATAACAATAGAAACATGGGACACAAGAGACTGCTTGCACATAAAACGCTAAATTTAAAGTTTAAAGGTCCTATATTACATAAAACGGACTCTTATGAGCTGGAACCTCATCAAAAGCATGCCCAGAACTGTGTTTTACTTCATTCACACATGTTTAAATAATCCTGGTTTATTAGTCTGTCTACATCTCAAAAGATCAAGATGCTCTATGATACAGTGTTCTACCTTGTGATGTCATGAAGTGGTAGTGTCCAAGTTATCAGCTCCTTTTACCTTTTGTTCAGTAAAGATTGGCAATTCCAAGGCTGAAATCATCCAAAATATTCTAGTGAAAATTGTGAATAGTTTAAAAACACAATGGAGCACTTCTCAATTAACACATGACATCACAAGGTGGAACAGAGTGTTTTCTGTTTGAGAGAAGAACTCAGGATAAATATGCAGGGTTTGTGTGTTAAACATGTGTAAATGAAATAAAACCACAACTCCAGGTACATTTTTGATGAGGAAATCACAAAATAGCATAATACGGACTCTTTAAAAAGTTTTTCTGTTTTGTCCAGACAAAATAAAGAATTATTTTATTGCTCACTGTGGCATTAAAAAAAGTTATTTGTCCTTATGTCTATGCCGGTATGATAACTGAAAGTAGACAGATCAGTGACTCAATCAAAATGTTAAGCATAACAATAAAAGAAAGTAGAATGAACAGTAACAAACTAAGACAGTTCAACATTTGGAGTTTTGTATTGTGATCATTAATTAACAGCCTCATCCTTAGAGTGATAATTGCAGATGAAGTCCTTGTGAAATCTTGACCTAAATTGTGATGATTCGTGTGTGCGTTTGTGGCAGTGGTGTTGGACGACTCGAAGCGTGTGGCCAAGAGGCGTCTCATAGAGGAGAACAGAGAGAAGAGGAAGAAGGAGGAGATGGTGAAGTCTCTGCAGGTCCGCCCCGAGCCTACGGGGGCAGAGTGGGAACTCATCCGCCTGGTCACCGAGGCCCACCGGCACACCAACGCTCAGGGCGCACACTGGAAGCAGAAGCGCAAATTCCTGGTACAGTCCTCACAAGAAATACACCACATGATACATGATACAAAATACATGATTATAGGTACAGTGTGTAACTTTCCAGAGGGCCTCCTCACCTGTATGATTCCATGGAAACAGAAAGTTAAAACCATCCATTGAAACTTACCATACTGAGGAAGATAATAGTCAAAGAAACAACATTTCCAATCAATAAAATAAGTGTCAGGTCTGTGGAGATGCAAGCCCGCTCACAGTAAAGACATGTTTTTCAGTGCCAAACTCATAATCAAAAAAGTTGAGTCTATTATTTGGCTAAAAGTGGTTGTGGCTTTAAAAAAAAATAATTTAGTAAAGTAACTGACCCTTATCACAAATTTAACTTCAAATGTGTACTCAAAACAGTAACTACAAATATCATCTGTGAAATTTAGTTTTAGTATTATTTTTGGCTCTAAACAAAAACACAAATAATACAATAATAGTAATAATGTCTTCAATTAACATAACACTTGTTTGGACACTCAAAGACTTTTCACCCTTCTGCTTTATTCATTCACTAAACTACTATTCATGGAAAGCCACAGGCAGTGACACCTTCATTGTTTTTATCTATATTTTCTCTCATTACAGTAAAATCCTCAATTCGTGTAAAGGTCTTCTGAAAATACAGAATACGATAAATATTTCAGTACAGTGACCTTTACAAAACTGTGCCGCGGGCTTCAGAGAGAGACCTGTTATTTCACATGACCTTTAAACACAGAAAGGTCAAGAGGTCACAAGCAGATATTTTTACGGCTGATTTTCCTTGTTTATGTTCAGAGAAAAAATGACTCATCCTCTGGCTTTATGCTATGTTCTTTTACGAGCCAGGTTGTATGGTTTGGAGACTAACGCTTCAAAGCATTGATTCTGAAATTGTTGTACAAATAACATAAAAGGTACATGCAGTTCTTCTATAGGTACTATTGATTCTGTATCGCTTTGCAGGTGTAATCATGGCTTTAAAAGTCCTACATATATATATAAAACAAAACAAAAAAAAATGTTTGGTAGAGATTGGTAATTGCAGGGCTGAAATTATCCAAATGATGAAGGTGTACAGAGTTTAAAAACACAGTGGAGCACTTCTTGTATTACCACATGACATCACAAGGTTGAGAGAAGAACTCAGCCTAAATATGCAGGGTTTGTGGTTTAAACATGTGTAATGAAACAAAACACAACTTTATAACATAGATCAGAAAATATTCATTTCAAATTCAAATTAATTCATACATTTTTATGACTAGTTCTGCAAATATCAAATATTCTCTTTAAAATCTTGATAGTGTCTTATAGGGGTGTAACGATATCCAAGTGTCACGATAGGATATCGTCACGGTACGATATCGTGGTAAAACTCACGATATGGTGGGGAGGCTCACGATTAGGGATGTAACAATATCCAAATTTCTCTGTACAATATTTTCACAATATACATCTCACGGTACAATTTATTAATTTAGACAAAACTGTTAATATGCTACTTTTTCCTCTTAAAATGCCTTGACAAGACTTAATCCAAAGAACTAAGACTTAAAACTGTTATTTCTTCATGTAGTCTACACTGAAATGGAGCAAAGGATCATGGTCTATGTAGTTCCCTCTGTCTTTTTTTTTTAGCTATTGCTGCACCATAACTCTTCATTTAAGCAAAGAGACTTGTAATTCGATTGTGATGGTCCACGATATTATTGTGAGAACTTTGAAGATATGATATCACGATATTTTGGTTATTTTTACATCCCTAGCGTCTTACTTAAGATCCATTTTGGCTTCTTAATAATAGACTCTAATGCCCCCAGTCTAAAACAAGCTGAAGTATAATAATATAGTATAATTAAAATGATTACTTATCATATTTACAAGCATTTGTACTGTGCAAAACTCTTTAAAGATTAAACAGAAGCAAAACAAACCTCAATTTTATTTACTCCAATAATTAGAATCAAATAAATTATTAAAATAGAGATGTCTGAGCTACCTTAGTCTCTGCAGAAATATTTGGTAATTGGTAAAAATTGATCCCTTGACAAATTGATCCTGCGCTTAGTATCTTGTATTTTTTTACTTTTACTACATATTTAGTGTTCCTCTTAGTACTGTATATCTGATTGACATTAAAATACATGAGTGTACTGCATGCTAGCGCCTCCACACAGCTGCTTGTCGGTGCCACTCAGTACCACTTTCTTCTGTCTCTATTCCCAGAGGCTGCCTCCTCACAGCTCTCCTTCTATCCTCTTTTCCTCCTCCTCTCCTCCACCCCTCCTCTCATCTCACCTCGTCCTTCTCTCCTCCTCTTCTCCACTTCTCCTCCTTTCCCTCCTCTCCTCTCCGCTTCTAATGCCTTCTTCTCCTCTTCTTCTCTCCTCCTCGTGTCCTCTTCTCCACCTCTTCTCCTCTGCCTCTCCACCTCTCCTCTCCTCCTATCCCCTTCTCACGCCCTCTCCTCTTTCTCCTCTCCTCGTCTCGTCTCTCTTTCACTTTTGCATTCATCCTAATCCCTCTGCGCTCCAAACGAGACCCACTTCTGAGCATTCACTTTCTTTCATACCTCCACTTTCTATACTCCTCTAATCTGTTTCCTGTCCGTGTGTCTTTCTTTTCTCAGTATTTTTTTCCTTATCTCCACCAGGGCAAATCCTCAGACATAAGCGCTCACTTGGCAGGCGAATTGGAAGTCGTAATTTGGGCTCATCCGGGCTGTCCTCCTGTTGTATCGTGCACATTTCTTTTTGGACAGAAGTGTCAGGGTTTCCCCCACGCGGACTCATTAACTGTGGCGTCATGCTCCTCTGCACTATCACGCTGCATTTTTATATCCTCTTCAAACTATTCATTATACTCAATGGCAAAGATAAATATTGTAAGCAAGTAATACAGCTTGTGCCTGCACTTTTAGGCACGCAAACTGGCAGACTTTAACAGAGTAAAACTGGCCTGGATGGGAAAGTAGAAAGTAGAAAGTAGGTAGTACCAGTAATTACAAAGTGACAGTACTAATTATTACAACAACAGTTGCAGTAACAATTTAATTAGTATTGTAGTAAGAGTATTAGTTACAATAATGGTATACAATGTAGGGTCTATAGTAGTAGTAGTAGTAGTAGACAGTAGTAGTATTAGTAGGCGTGAGAACAGTATTAGATGATAGTAGTAGTAGTAGTAGTCCTAGTAGATAGTAATAGACAGTAGTAGAAAGCAGTAGTATTATTAGTAGTTATGGTAATAGTAGATAATAGTAATAGATAGTAGTAGTAGTAGTAGTAGTAGTAGTAGTAGTAGTAGTAATAGACAGTAGTAGCAGTATTAGTAGTCGTGGTAATACTGTAGTAGTAGATTATACTAGTAGATAATAATAGTAGTAGTAGTAGTAGCAGTAGACAGAAGTAGTAGATAGTACTAGTAGATAGTTGTAGTCCTAATAGATAGCAGTAATAGACAGTACTAGGTAGTAGTAGTATTAGTAGTCGTCGTAATAGTAGCAGATAGTAGTAACAGATAGTAGTAGTAGTAATAGTAGTAGTAGTGGTACTAGTGGTAGTAGTGGTATTAGTCACATTTAAAATACATATCAGTACTTTCTACCAAAAGGTGAACTAATGTTAAAGCTTTAAAATGAATGTTCCACAGTATGGCATTACATCTACCTAACTTTATTTAATTACATGTTTTATTCCTGAAAAATACCTTGAAAAACTTGTATTCTTGTTGCGAGTGGGATCACCTCTCCACAGATCTGACTTGTCCTTGTATCATCACCTGCTTGTGTCCATGGAAGATACAAGTTATTTGCCGTACAGTGGAACATTCAGCCGGACATTCAGTACAGCGCTGTTGCTTTTCTACTTCAGTGATACAATTTGGGCATTATCACATTTTTGTTTTTCCTCAGTTACTGGTAAAGTGTTGGTAAAAGCTGTAAAGAGGGCGCAGCAGCTTTAAAGGTACAGTGAATAAACCTGTCAGGAGGTAGACACCGTGGAAGCTGTGGTTGCTAGGAAACTACAAGCCCGCTCCGGTACGAGACTGTGGGCCGATAATTAGGCTGCGGTCGGCTGGTGTGAAATTTCAAGCAGAGTAAAAAGATCAAAAATACGGAGAAAAATACTGGAAAGGACACACATTATAGAAGTGTGTGTCTCAATGAAGGAAACGAACAATGTAAACGCTGAAATGGGCCGCGATGGAGATGTAACTGAAATGATTTGTTACAGTATATGAGCTATTTTAGAAACATTTCAACAGTATGGACTTCACCCACCTCCTTTTTCTGGAACTTAATTTCTCATATATATAACAAAAATATATATTAAAAGTTTGAAAGCTTGCTCAGGGGTAATCAGCTTTGTGGTGACTAATGAGCACAAGACCTATAATTTAGTTTAAAATCTGTTTCTGAAATGTTATGAACCGCCAAGTTATTAAAGCATTTCGCTGATGTTTTGAATTTGCTTTCTGGGCTTAAACCAACCCACGTTATGGATATTAGTTACCACGGAATTTCTTTACACTCCGCATTGCGTTTAAGCTCAATGAATATATGAATTTTTGGTCGAGGGGAAAAAAAACAGAGCAGACGGTCTCCATTAGTACCAAAGATTTGAGGTCTACTGAAAAAAACAAAGAAAACATGTAGGGTAAAGTGATTTGATTTGAGTATTTGATCTACCATGTGAAATTATCTCTCGACTAAATATTATTTTTTGTCTTTTTATAATCGTAAGCCATTCTTGAGTCTCTTGAAATACAGTATGTCTTTTAAAGTATTGATATTCCCACTGCCCTTTATTGTAACAAAACAATTACAATAGAATATAAAGTTTTGTTTCATTATAAGTTAAAAAGCACTGGTCTATCTCAACACACGTAGGCCTCTCCATGAGTTTCACAGTAATGAAAAATCTGGACCGTGGCTATACTGATTAACAATCGAAAACAAAACATTATAACTTCTGGCGGAAACGTCCTCAGAATTT